AATGGCTGCATAATTGGATATCAACAAAAAAAGACAAAAGAACTTAAAATCAACGAGACTTATACATAAGCAAAAACTTGAAAAAGTAGAAATCTTTCTTTACCGGTGTTGGGTGGTATTGTGGACAAAGACGGAGGAAGAGATAAAATGTCAGGGCCAGGATTTAAAAGGCAAGAACAGATTTCTTACAACTCAAAAAAGCTGAAGATTTAAAGACCTTGTCCATAACTCTAAGTTAATGATATTCAACAGTAATGTCAAGGCAGTCCTACCGTATGGTGCCGAGACTTAGAAGACAGCGGTGTCCAACACAAATATACAAACCTTTGTTAAAAAGAATCTACAAAGAATCCTCCAAGTACGCTGACAGAGCACTGATTTCTGGCATAAGACAACCCATTTAACTGTGGAAACCAAAATATTGCAGAAAAATTGGAGATGGCCGGGGAACACACTTCGTTTGTTTGTTGTTTAACTTCCCCCTAGAGAATTTTTCACTCATATGGAGACGCCACCACTTGCCGGTGGAAGGCTGCAAATTTATACCTTTACTCGGCACTGAGGGCCATTGAGCAGTGAGGGATCTTTTTCGTGCCAACACCTATTACGACACGGAACCTCTAGATTAGATGACCTCTAGACGGTCTCATCCGAAGGATCGGTTCCCATGTCTTGCAGTGGATTCGAACCTGCGACGTAAGGATCAGCTCCTTACTAAGCGACTCTAGAGCAGACGCTCTAACCACTGCCTCACGCGGACGACTCACGTAAACAAATAAAAAGAGCAGTAATTTTGAATTCCAAAGGAAAAAGAACACCCAACTGGGTGTGAAAATTAGAACTACAGAGTAAACATTCAGCTGAACTTGAGAAAAAAGGCTAGGATGGAGAGGTTCAGAGATTATGTCCCTAAAATGATGGGAGAAATGAAGTATAGTGAAAATCAATGGACTTCGGTTTATTAGTTAAAATATAGATGCATTGGAATATTTTCATGATGATGATAGTGATAATAAAATAACACTTGTTGCAAAACGGATGATAATTATAATGCTGATAATAAATGAAATATATGAAAAATTATAAATGGTTTCGGTATTTTTTCTCCTGACGTGATTCGTTAATTTTTAAGTTTTATTCATTACTGAGTGTTGTGGAAACTTATTTGACTTCATCCTCTCAGTACACGACTCATGTCTTTTTTGATACAAATCCTTCCCTAGGGTTACATTATTGAATTGCAAATATGGCTGTCTTGTAATATACGTATACTTAACTTATGATGGTACATGGTTTGGTTTCTAATTTTTATACGAAGGAAAAAAATATAATGTTATTTTATACTTTTCCCTTAATATACTGTACGAAATATTTAATTAGATTATACTTCTTTTCATCAAATTATGGTAAATATTTCTCTTCTTTAAAAACAGCATGAAAACATACAATCTTAAGTTGTAAGCTCCGAAAAAGGGAAAAGAATGAAAGAAAGAAAACCAAAACAGATAACCATTATGTATATTATCAATATCGGCAGTTTTGTATGCTAAACATGTGCTATGCATGAAATCAATCAAATTACATAAGTACATCTTTGGAACGTTCAGTCGCACTATTATAGCGCTTCAGGTCATTCGTCCAATATCTGAATTTATAAGGTCTTCATTCCATTTCATCTCACATATGTTCAGTTAGGGAGGTCTGGTGTAAAGGCGGACCATGAGATTCTATCAATAACAAAATGCCAACACCATGCTCATGACGTTACCAAGTCTTTACTTGGCATGCAATAATGTAAATATGGTGGACACAGTGAATACAAGATCTTATTTGTTCTTTATAGATATTCTCTGTGGACATCTTTTTGTTCCTGTACAAACACATGAAGAGTGTGATTTTGTGTACCAAACAGTTCTTTAAGTTTTCAATTATATATGTGTGATTACATTGTGTCAGATTGTTTTCAATTTATCACTACATATGGTTGATTTACTCTGATAACCCACAGAAGTATGAAAGGGAGGTATTTGGATTTGTCAATTGTCTCATATTTTGAACTGACTTCATTGTAATTGATCAATTCATTCTACACAATTTAGGAATAATTTTAAAATTCGGTAAAACCGAAATATTTTCTAAATATTTTCCTTCAAAGTAATAAATAGAGGAATTTTAATTCTTTTCTTCAAAACCGTGATATTCTTATAATTAAAGTTACGTTACTGAATCTTTTAAATGAGAATTTCGCATTCCTAACCTGTTGTGATTTTGTTCAAAATTTATGGGTTATGTGATTTTCAACGTTAAGTCTAGATTTCTTATATATTGTGACCCAAATGCACTAAAATACAACTCTATTTAATGAATGCTTTTCGAATACTGTTTGTTATCTTCATATTTTATTTTAAGTTCTATGTGAGTTATTTAAACAATAAAATGCTTTCTTTGGTTGTAAGTACGGGAATTAATGTCGCAGCTATTGCAGAAAAAATACATAACCCGCGTAAGCGGGTTATGTAAATTTTTTCTGCAATAGCTGCGATGTTAATTCCCGCACTAACAACCAAGGAAAAACATTTTATTGTGTATATTTATATCTTTATAAATAATCATTTAAAGTAGGATTAAAAAGATTAACTATTGTATTATTGATATGTACGTCATTGTACGTTTCATTGATGGAACAGCCACTGATCAAGAAATCTGTCAAGGTGATATGCCTAGTGTTGTTCATGAACTGATAAACGGCAATGATTTTCTTTAGAAATAAAGGAGAAAATATTCAGTGGATGTAAATATTGGTGTGTAAACACACAGACTTGTCACACAGGCATATATCATGAAGCAAGCGAAGTATATCTCTGGCAAACACTCAAGAGTAGAAATTCACAGCGACCTTCCTTCAAAAAGGGTTTTTCATTATCTAGACAACAGTAAATGTAATAACATGCTGATTTTAAGTAAACATAGTATTTTTGATGACGTGATTTCCTTCATTTTTATTATTTGTGAATTTGTTCCATTTTCAAAGATTTGTTTTTTCTATTGATTTACGAGTATGAAATAATTTTTTTAACTTATAGAAGTCATGTTAGTTTTCTATAATTTTATAATAATTGCCAAGTCAAATATGGGCACTAGATTTGTCCAGTAATCCTTTCTATATCAGAATTTCTCATTCTCTTCTACTCTCTATCATTTGTAAAGACACACCAGTATAGGTCACTATTTGACCTTGAACTTGAGAGTCAGAGATTTCCCCTATTTGCTTGTAGTCATAGGCATCAATATTCATTAGGTGGCTGACTTATGTTATTTTCATTGACTTAAGGTTCTATATACTAAGGTTGATATATTCACCAGAGAACTTTGACACATTCGTGTATATTTTGATTGATCATTAGGGAAATAGAGTACCTTAAGGTAGAAAGACGACGTGTAGAAAACACCCAGTTTGTTATCAAAGCTTTTATCAGGCTATCCCACAGCAATCCTATTGGTACAGGAACTTAGTGTACTGCATGGTATTTTCTTACTTAATTATATATTCAGTCGGTTGGAGAGTTTCATCATTTCGTATAGGAACATGAATATACTGATCAGCTGCAGGGAACACCTAAAAGAATGAGTTGAGATAACTTCTTTAGTAAGAAAGTGTTAGAAGTGTTGAAAACACTTGGTACAGTAAGTGTAACTGTGTAACTTGATGTAAAAAATAATTTGATTATAACTATAAAATTTGAATTTAATTACTTGATGTTTAGAATCATATGTGATTTTACTATATAATATGCATTTAATCACCTAATTTTAAGAATTATTTCTAACGAGTCAACATAGGAATCTGGCAGGCCAAGGTAAACATCTGACAAGTCAACATAACTTTTATGTCAAGTCGGCATAACTATCCGAAAAGTTGATATAAATATCTGACAAGTCGACATAATATCTGACACATAAACATCATTAACTCACAGATCGACATTATCATCTGACAAGTCGATGTCAACTTGTCTGATAATAATGGCGACTTTTCAGAAATTATCTTTAGTTGTCTTGTCAGATGAATATGACGACTTGTCAGATACTTATGTCAACTTGTCGGATAATTATTTGGATTTGTTAGAATGTTACTTTGATTTGTCAAAAAATAATGTCTAATTGTCAGAAAATAATGTTTTCTTGCTTGACACGTATGTCGACTTGTCAGAAATTACGATGACAAGTAAAATATCAGTTAGTAGCATGAATAGGCTTTAATAATAAGTGAGCTCCTAGTCGTGTTGATAATTATCTAACAAGTCCACATAAACATCTGGCAAACCGATATAAACATCTAAAAAATATATTTAACAAGTCAAAGTAACCATCTGACAAGTTGACGTTAGCATCTGACAAGTTGCCTTTAATATCTGACAAGTCAACATAAATGTCTGACAAGTCAACATAAATGTCTGACAAGTCGACTTTAATATCTGACAAGTCGACATAAACATCTGACAGGACGATATATTAAACATCTGACAAGTTGACATAAACATCTGACAAGTTGACATAGGCATTATGACAAATTGTAACAGAAATATGCCATCATAGAGAACAGAATTATGTAATTCAACACTGTATTCACACTCGGTAGACTCGGAAGTCTTCTAACTCATATTCCTCCTGTTGTTCCTTATCGAGGTCTTTAGGTAGGGTTTTATTATGACAACACATTAAGGGAAACTTACATGCCTGCTCAACAATTTCATATGTACCGGGTATTTTAGTTTATATATACTAAATTAAGGGAATACTAATGATGTCAATTCTTCATTTCAAAAACTGAAACTCACTCAGGAATATCATTTAAATATCGATACATGTATTAAATAAAGATCCTTTCTTTAAAAAAAATGAAACAATCTGGTCAGATAATATGTGTTTGAATAACATCTTACGAATTATCATATATCAGTACATGAAATATGGAGATAACGAACAGTGTTCAAGCTCAAAGTCCATTAAAACAGTACAAATCGGGAGCAGAGCAAACACGGACCTCCAAAACCATTAGAGGTGGGATAAAATGCATTTTCTTAATTTTCATTCTGGGGTTCTTTAATCATTGTGCAGCATATTCATGAACATTTTAATCAAATGATGATATAGGACACAGTCTTCATCCAGCAAAGGCAGCGCCGAGTATCCCAGTGGCTACCAAAACAAACACGGGGATACCTACTGCCGCGGCTAAAACCGGAAGTGCACCGCCTCGTCTTCGCGTAGTGGTGGACGACGTAGTAGTGGTCAGTCTGGTAGTACTGATTCTTTCTGTGGATGGAAACAGTTTAAAGCTTGATTTTAAAACATAGTTAATCAAAGATTACAAAACTCGACTGGACGAATGTATCTTAAGTTGAGGCAAAGTCTAACACCAAATGTAGGTTCTTGACTTTAACAACCCTTCATGCATCATCCACGTTTTGGTCCAGGTAGTATTTATAGTTACATGGAAATGGACCTGCTCCAAAAACTTCAACCTGTCAGTCATCTGGAAAATGTAGGTCAGATCCAGCATCATAAGCATTCTTTGTAGTGTGCGTCAGTTACACTTAACCTGCACACTCATCCGGAAAATATAGGTCAGTTCCAGCATCTGAAGCAAGTTTGGCATTGTGCATCCCTAGATACATCACCAGTGCAAGCATAGTCACCAAACAGTTTCGGAAATGAGACCTGCTCCAAAAAATTTATCTTTATCCTTAACCTGGTCATTTTTAATGAAAAAATATTGCCTGAAAATGCAGCATCTGAAACCTGACTCGAGTACAATTAAAACATACCAGATGCAAAATCCATGCAACTCTGAAACAATATTATAATAAAAGTCTGCCCCACAAAACTTTATCCTTGACTTCGAGGGTAAAGCATAAGCTCCCTCCGACATCTTCGAGGTGATTTAAAAACGGAAAGAAAACCCTATTTTCAGATAAATCAGTGTTTGTCTTATATTTGCATTCCACAGATAGCATACTCACATAAAGGTATGGTGATTGACAGTAAGTATGCCCATTTTAGCACAAAAGCAAAGTTAATGTTTACATATAGATATAATATCCATTGGGGATCAGAGTTGATTCTATCGGAAGCATCTGGCATATGGATTCATTTAAGAAATTACGCACTTTGTTAACTTCGTAATGACATCTTCGTGTAAATTTTTCATAAAATGTAGTGAGTAGCTTCTTTTTAATGCAATTACTTTGAGACACGAATATTTATTCGGTAATATGGCGTGCAAATTTCCGTTTTCTCTATAATGTATATTCACGTTTGAGACGGAAGAACGCTTTACCCTTCCCAATAATCAAGTAAATATATATTCACCGTCACATCGTGGGCCTTCAAACCCCTCCTCACAGACACATTCCGGGAAATAAAACTTCACTTGACATCTTCCATTGTTACATTCTGAATCATCGCCAGCGATATCGCATGTCGCTGAAAAAATATCAGTTAGAACCAATAATTGATCCTTAATGCAAATGAAAACTAACTCCATATAAATACAGGTTTATTCAAAATATTGCAGATTTGTTTTTCTAAGTCACAATGTTAAAAATAAAATGCTAAACACAACATGGTGGAACACATAATCTTAACAATGTCATGCTATGAAAATATATATAGTGACACACAAAAGAAACGCAAAAATCAGTTAATACAAATATCTAAATACTCTCATCTAATGATACACATATTTTGGATTGTTTGATTAAAAATACCAGACAATTAATTAAAATGTTGAACATCGTCAAGATTAAACTTTAGAAAGTAGTAGGTAACCGTTTACCCCCCCCCCCCCCCCCAAGAGATAATTATAGCAAATATGTCCGCCATGTACATCAAATGCAGCTGGGATTCTACGAGGCACTGACCATCGGTCTTTTGATTTGAGCCAAAAGATATATATGTGGAGATAACGAACACTATTCGAGGTCAAAAGTCCATTAAACATTACAAAAAAGGAGCAGAGCAAACACGACGGGTTTTTCCGTTATTTCCCGATCATGATGAGGAGCACACGGCGGGTGTGACCGGTCGGCAGGGGATGCTCACTCCTCCATGGCACCTGATCCCACCTCTGAGGTTTTAGAGGTCCGTGTTTGCTCTGCTCCCGATTTGTATTGTTTGGAATGGACTTCTGAGCTTGAATATCGTTATCTCCATATATTCCAGAACATCCCACTCTAGGTGGATAGAATTGAACATACCAAAACATCCTACACCAGATGGACAGAATTCATTTCCAAAGGGATAAAACCCTTCCTCACATAGACACTCTTGATTACAATACGAATTAGCCCCACATTCCTCATCAGTAGTACACGAAACAACAGCAGGTGCTCGAATCTGGTGAACAATAGCCAGAAAACCGACAATATGAAACAATGTCCGCAGACTCAACGTCATGGTGTCAGATACGACGTTCAGATATCTTTTGAATTGTACCAACGTCAACCTTTCTTTCTGCCACAAGTAAAGTTTCTTACCACAGGTAATGAAATGACATATATCCACATACTTGTATGTGCATACCCAAATCGTGTATATGTAGCTCATGTTGTGGTACAATCCTAAAACGAATCAGCTTTATGATTTATAAACCACGTGTTTTAAATAAATGTCTTCTCTTAGTCGCATGTTATATACATGTATATTTGAAACATGAAATTCTTGAAATACTACATCTTTATATGTTTTCTTGAAACACTACATCTTTAAAGGTTTTAATTGAGGGAACAAAATTTTAAAAACTATGAATTTTCTTTCTTTTTTTTAAATCCACTCAGATTTAGTTCAAAATTTGAAAAAGGAAGAAAAATTCTAAAACGAACTAATTTGTTTAACAGTCATAAATAATGAACAACCATCGAATTTTTTAAACATAAAATATTTTTTTTTAATGAAATTGACAGCATTCTGTTCAATTTTTTTTTATTCTTACCAAAACAGCCCACAGCAGATGGGCAGAAGTCATTCCCAAATGGATAAAAATTCTCCTCACATTGGCACTTTTTATCTGGGTTACAAAATGCGTTAGTTCCACAGTCCTCCTTTCCATTGCATGGGGGACCTCCAGGGGACATTGCCAAACCCTGATAAGCGATCGCTATAAAGCCAACAACGGAGATAAAGAACTTCCACTGACTCCACATCATGGTGTTTTATACTTACGTTATGTTTTGTTTTTTCACAACCAATAAAGTACTATACTTGTACATCCAAACACGTATATCATAGCCTTGTAAAAGTACATATTATAATAAACATACTTGCTCCAATGAATCATAATTTAAGACACACATTGACATTTTTTGTCTGTTTTCAATATTCGTAAGATAGTTTTATGAGAGCTCTTAATATCATATTAAATGTTCACTTAAAGTTTACTAGTAAAAAAACGATGTGACATTCATTTAATTAAATGTATTATATAATATAGAGTTTTCGAATAAAACGAATATGTTCTAGACAATTTCAATTTGTAGATGATTCTCGAACACACAGGAAAACTTTCTATATACGAGTAATTTTATTCCGACCCTTTATGAGCAGAACCTGCGTTAACATGTTTTCTGTAATGTGATGACGCGGAATGCATCTCTTAAAAACTTCTAGGTATGAAAAGAATCTCTTGTTACTGTGGACTTAAATCAATTTAGATGTATCGACTACGTTTCATCAATTTCGAATATTCATTTGCATCCATTCTTTGAAGCAAACTAACAACGAAACGTGATGATTTCAACTTTTTTATCGTCAACTTCCCTTCATATTTATTTTAATAAATATATAATATAACACGTCCGTAAGATTAAGCAATTACAGTAAGGGGGGGGGGGGATACCAAGCAGAATTTCCTTAAAAAGCAAAATGAATAAATAAATAAATAAATAAATAAATAAATAAATAAATAAATAAATAAATAAATAAATAAATAAATAAATAAATAAATAAAAGGTCATTAGACCTTATTATTGAGGTGACTCAAGCATATAGTACATGAGTCATCTCAATAATAAGGTCTAATGACCTTTTATTTTTTTATTTAAGTTTATTTTGAATCAAAATAACGATTTTATGTCGTACATGGCCGTAGAACACGGGGGACCCCATTATATTGCTGATATATAGCATACTATAGAAAAACATAGCTTCAAGCATATAGTACATGAAGCTATGTTTTTCTAAAGTATGCTATATATCGGCAATATAATGGGGTAACCCCCCCCCCCCCCCCCCCGGGTTCTACGGGCATGTATGACATAAAATCGTTATTTGGATTCAAGATTTTAAACCAATACATATACATAATTACAAATCGAATTTTCGTGACCCAAGACGCAAGCATGTCAGTTTTCCTTCATGAAATAGTTATTGATTTTTTTCCTTTAAATATTCTGTTAAAAATAATTAAGATCGGGGTCGAGATTACATTCATTGTATTTTCTAAAATTAAGAAAAACGCGATATTTTTTAAGATATCGATTTATTATCTGTATAATTTATAAACAGACAGTGAATACTTATTAATTATTTGTTATCATAAATGAAGAGATAGAAAAAAAATATAAAAATGGTCGGGCGCACTTTGTCTCACTCGCACTTCCTGTTTACCTAGCAACATAAAATGGCGACCTTCTTTCCTTTTGGTGATGGATAAGACTTCATTATTTTGTTGGATTATTCAGTAGTTAGCATTTTCTTTTAAGAATAGTACTTTAAGAATTTTAAAAGTTCTTTCCTTATCCCGATTTTGGGTTAAAAATGGCGGCAATCGAAACCCAACAAGCGTTTAATCCAACAATGACAACAACACAAGCCATTATGCCCGATAAACCGCGGGTTCCTATTGTAGCTCATATTATCACAGACGATGACATTGGCATATTGAAGGTACGGAACATCCATATGAACAATGTTAGAGATTATTTCACAGTTAATTTAAATATATGGTCTAAAAATTCTTCACACTCACCATCTATATGTGCACTCGATAATTTTCCTTTAAGATTTCTAACAAAATATTTGTTTTATTATAGGGAACAAAGCTCCAACCCATCAACTTAAGCAGAGTTGTAAAGCTTCTCACAGATCCACACTCAGTAAGTTTTATAATTAGTGCTGATACTTTTGTTTGCAGTTGTGTTTGCTAATGAGAGAAGATTAATTACAATGTATCATAGTAAGTTTTACTTGTGTAATTTTTTTCAAATCTAATTCTTACCTGAAACTTTATTATTAAAAATATTCAATATAGCAGGAATCAAACTGTCATTCTTCATGTCCATAGATTCAATACTAATGACCTATGCAGATGAAACTTAATCGAGTCTGATGAGACATTTAATTTGTTGATAAAATTGATTTAGTAAGAATGACTTTATTTTTTATTTTTCAGGTACATTTGGTAGACAGACACATTAATGCACTTCAGCGACTGGTGAAACATTATCAGAAGGGATTTGTATCCTTTTGTCTAAGAATATTTAAGCATTGAATCATTATTTTTTGAAAGATATAGTCTGATAACTGCAACATGTGTGCAAACAAATTGAGTAATGTGCGTTATGACATATGACCTTATGATATCACTTTCAAGGGCAAAAGTGGAAGATTTCAGTACAGACTAATAAATAATAAAACAATAATTTATCTAAGAGACATGAAACAAACTGTACTGTACAGTTTGTTTCATGTCCCTATGATAAATTATTTTTTAATTTAAAAAATTCAATTATATGAAAACAGTAAAAATTTTCAGGGGCAATAACTCACAAAAGGGGTTGATGAATTCTTTGGCAATGAATAGATTGAAGAGTCTTCTGAATTAGTTGAAGATAGCAGTGAAGGTTTCATCTCTCTAGTAAAACATTTTTGGAGGAGTAACGATTACAAGATTTTTTGTACAAGGGGCAAGAATTCTGAAAGGGGTCATATAGTTCATAGTCTTTGGGTTAAATGTTTTCATAATTACTAATGACCTTTATAGTGAACAAAAAATCTTTTTGATAAACCTCAAACCAAAAAAATCAGTGGAAGAAAAATAATTAACAGAACAATTTCAATAGGTCTTTCTGGAGGATATATTAAATCAAATTTAATATGAAATAAAATAAAAACTATTTACAAAGTGAACTCAACCTCTAGTTCCACATTACTTTCCTTAATAATGACTTAGCCCATGAAAGATTTAGTTCAGGTTTTCAAGATCCTAAATGTGTGTTCTGATCGTGTGGCGGGCCAAGATGAGGAACCATTGTTTGAGAAACTTATCTGTGATATTCTGAAAATCTGTAGCCTGCCATTTCTGAAGGAGAAATCTTCAGATGAAATTGTTTTTGAGCAGATTGTCACAGAGTCTGTCTCACAGCTAGGTGAGTCATCTAAAGCTAGCATTTAATATTGTACATTAGTTTGTTTGTTTTTTATTTACATGTGGTTGATGTACATGTAAACTGTAAACCAGCTATTATTTGCGGAAACTTTTATTTGCAATTTGTCAGTTTGAAATCTATCTGCAAAGAATAAGTTTCATGACTGAGGATATGTTCTACATAAAAAGAAAGTGAAATAAAAAGTTCACTGCGAGAAATATTCACAAATAAAGCAAGGTCGTGAAACTTGCTGATATTTTTCCAACATGAATAAAAGTTGGTTTACAGTAAATACATAGATAAATTTTGAAATGAACTTTTCCATTGTATTGTATGTGTTTAATTTGTGTATATTAATACTGAACTTTAACATAAGATAGCTCCTAACAATTTTTCTAACTATGCATGTTTTGTATGGAGTCCTTTAATTTTCATCACATGTGCTTTATCTTTGAATTAAGTTTCACTTGTATGTAGACGATAGAGTCTTTTATGAAAATTACATTTAAGAACTATTCAGAAAGAAGAAAGGGTTTATAAATTCTTTTTGATTTTTATTTTGTTCTCTAAAGAGTTGCCCCTCTTTGTAAATGTGTTTATTTTTAAGGATATTTAATGCGAGTTCCATCTCGTGACATAAGGAGACAGATATGTGACACCCTTGTTGCATTTTACAGTGAAAAACCAACCAATCAAGATGTCCAGAGTAAGTCTATAGAACTGACCATTTATTTATTTATTTATTTATTTATATATTTATTTAAGTTTATTGAATTGACCAATCATGATAATTGAGTCTAATTAGCTAGTCTATGAAGTATTTATGAGGGTTTATCAAAAAGTTAGTGGACAGATGCAATAAAATTAATATTATGTAGGCTGTGGTTATGAAATTGGTAAGGTTAAGAAGTTTAAGGTTAATACGTTGATAACTTGCCATTTATCCTGAAATACAAAAAATATTATATGGTCACCTGGTGCTGTCGCCATTGAGCCCTATGATGTTCGACAACTTCATTGCTTCTCAATACGCCTCCCTCTGCCCCATAAACTGTTTTTAAATTAGATGAAAAACCCTGGAGTTAAAAAAGGATTGAGACCTGTGTTGTTTGTATGACTTTACAATTTCATGAATAGCTGATTTCAATGAACAATATTTTGAAGGGATCTATAAAAAAGGAAAAGTTTCTCCTTGACTATGTCAGCTTAATTTGCCTGTCAATTTCAATATCTACTTGACATGATCAACATCACTTTTTGAGTGACTTTAGATACTCAGACCGCAAATTAGCATTAAATGTGTCTCTCCTATGGTAATAAACCATTGCTTACAAAAACATTGACTATTTGTGAAAAAATTAAATGTATGATTTAGAATTTGTTCTATAGATCAAAAACATGATGCTACTAAATGAGTATTTCGTATTTCACTGATGTATTTTAAGCAGTTTTAATTTTATTGTGCCAGTCCACAAACTTTTTTATAACCTATATTATGCATGTTTACTTTTTCACAGAGCTCCAAGCCACCAGTCTGTCATATAACAAGAGAGTGATCGAAAACAGTGATGTCTCAGAAACATTAGTCAAAGTAAGATATCTTATTTTCTTAGTTTCATTAAGTAATATTATTTTTATTTGATGTTGATTAGTAGCATATTATAATAAATGTTGCAAAAGTTTTGATCACTGTCAGACTGATGTTTTTTTTCCAGTCCTTGGCATTGCTAGAGAAAGATGTGGACATAAAACTGGCCGTACTGAATGTACTCCAACACTTCTCTAAAGGATCAGGTAACTAAATAAGCACTGTGTATTTATCTTTGATTTACTTTAAAAAACATGCTTGAAAACATAAATAATTAACATATGAAAAAAGGGAATATAAAATACTGTGATTTAAGCAGGTAACAAAAACTTAGCACTAAGCATTCATCTTTGTTTTACACTTAAAATGTACTTGAAATACTAGAAATAATTCGCATATAAAGTAAGAAAGTGTAAAATATTGTGTTTTGGCTTTAAAATTTTCAATTTGACCATTACAGCCAAGAATTGTGACCAGATGCTGAGAGCTGATGCGGCCACTACTGTCTGTTCACACTTGATGGATTCTGACCCCACAGGTCAGCTCCTGTTCCGCTCTGTTGAAATCCTGTGGAATATGTTAGAAAATGGAGACCAGGGGCAACTTGCTGAGCAGCTTAACAATTTAACCTGCATCAGGTATAATTGTTACCTGTATAATGGCTGTATTGTCTTAAAAACTGCAAGATTTAGATGTCAATATGATAAATTGTAACTTTCAAACACTTAATGCTCTGATATCATTGTTTAAGAAAGGAAACATGGTAAAGCTATAATGATAATAAAAATATACAAATATAATTACTTGTACATGTAATATGGTGTTATTTGAGAGTTCTGCATGTATAGGACTATTAATTTGACAATCGGTAGAAACATGTCTTGAAAAAGAATATCATTTAAAAAAAAACAGTGTTGAGAAACATTTATCTTCTAGAAAACAAATATTGTAGACACTGAATTTCATACTTTTTAAATTATTAACCCAACATTTTTAGCACTTATGAAAAGATGATGTGTAGGAAAATTAACGCAGATACTTCAAATTCAGTATGCATATAAATATTCTATGTAAAAACATCAAAAATTTCTCAGAAGGATAAGATTTATGATATCTTTGTTTTAAACAGTCAGCTACGAGATGCTTTTGTGTACCAGTTAACGCAGAGTTACAGTCATTATGGCAGACAGCTTCGTAATGATCTCCTGGTCATCACAATGCTTGTGGCATCGAAATGTCCGAACGCTCCCTTTGTAGAGACAGGATTTGCCAAACAGCTGACATTGTTTGCAACATTCCAGGAAGGTTTGTATTTAAAAAAAAATGTGGGTGTGACCAGTTGACAAGGGATACTTACCCCTTAATGTCACCTGATCCCACCTCTGTTTTCAGAGGTCTATGTGACTCTGCTCATAATATGTATTGTTTTAAATGGAATTTTGAGAATGTTGACTGTTCATTATATTCAGAATTCATTTCATAACACATGTCATGATGTGTTTGTTGAGAAGAGAAAAACGTATGAAGGTGACGAAGTGCTTTCCCACATTTTTACTCCAGTGAAATAGATTTGTTGCTGTATAAATAATATTTTTTCCTCCAGATAATGAAGTATGAATTAGTTCAAATTGCCACATGGCATTTATCATTGTTTAAATATTTTTGTGTTAAATTATGAAGACAACATGTGGATGCCAGCAAATTTCTGTCAAATCAATCATACTTCATGTCTCAAAATTGTTTATTTATCACATAAGAGATATAATTAGCATTGTTTGAGCTTTAACATTATGTCAGATTCATTAACATTCATAAGTTAGGATTTTTGGTGTCTTCTTATTTTTAAGGGTCTTCATTTTCACTTATATAGCTGTCAAAAACTAAGATTTGGAAAAATTAACAAAATAATTATTATTAGATTGTAAATTTGCAATATAATAAAGGAGGAAGAATTACCTCCCTTCTTTCAGAAATAATGTAAAAATAGTATCTGATTTAATTGATTGAACATCTCTTTTGCTCATTTTGCAAAACTGTTACAGTAAAACTTTCTTATTTGGAAACCACTGTTTCCAAAGAAATTGGTGGGATTATAGACAATATTCTGGATTAGACACTATATTTCACTGAAAGGGACTTAAAGCTTACATTGTATTAAGCAAGATTTCGAAACACAAAAGCCAAAGTAGACAAGTTTCACTATATATATACAAGTATCAGAAAATTTCCCTCATTCATCACTTTGGATTGAACATAGCATGGGTTATATTTGTGTGATGAGAGTGCCATTTTTTTCGTACATCAACCTGTTGGAATGAAACAGAAACAGTAAAAAAAATCTTAGAAGACCTTTTTCTAAAAATGTAAGTGAATTTTGGATAAAGGAGATATAAAATTCATTCTTTATTTCAGTGAAAAGTCACAATGCATTGGTGAAGCATTTAAAGTTGATGAAGAGCCATGAAGATTTTGAGTTAAAGAAGTTGTTGTTTAGTATCCTTGTGACTCTCAGTAAAGACCCAACAGTAGTCCCTGTAAGTCATACTGCTTTGGTATATATATACTATTAACCATTTCATCTTTTGCGAAACCTTATTTGGTTATTTTTTTAAGCAACTGCAAAGAAAAAAGTTTCTCAAAACATGGTGTTGATGTATCCAGTATGTATTCCTTAACAATGAAAATATATACAGGAATGAAATTTTTGTGAGCAAACAGTCTTGCATAATTAGGTCAAAATAAAGTAAATTGAAAGTAATTTATATTGCCTAGTATCAATCTATATTTGATTGTAGGTTGATTGCAATGAGTATCATTATTTTTTTTTTATTTTAAACCCAGAAAATTTTTATGGGTTTCATCTATAGGTTTCATCTATAAAACTGGAATTTGATTCTCCTCAAAATACATTTTCAAGTTTTACATGCTGAAGTAATTTCATATTTTCATTTAAGAAGTGACAACAAATTATATGAAAAAAAATACAGATAAATCAAAATTTGTTGTCAAGAAAAGCTTTGAAACCTAATTTGCATATTTTCCCATTAATTTTAGGTGTTATCAGAGGGACACCTGATGCTGGCCCTATTCTCCTTTGTGAGGGCCAATGAGAACACGTCTGGCCCCCGGGAGTGGACCCCTGCTCAGTTTGAGGAGATCCAGCTCCATGCTATGTCCTGTCTGTGTGCCCTGGTTCCCCTAATGATTGAGGATTACATGACTTGCCAGGGTAGCACACGTCTGCTGTTGTTACTGGAATGGTGTGTGGGGGAAGGTAAACAAGTCTGTCTCTATGTCCACAGAACTACAACATTTTAAATTTGGATATGATTTTGTCAATGAAAAGTTGATACATTTATTATTTCAGAGGACTTTGGTGGTCATGGTAACAGTTTCCATGGCTCTGGTGGCCGTGGCAACAAGAGAGGACAGATGAGGCATTGTTTACGTCTGCTCCGCAGTGTGGTGTCTACAGGAGATGAAGGTGTCTTACAGGATCTGTCAGACCAGGGTGTCATCAACCAAATCATCAGTAAGTCATTTATAAAATTTTCATTAAGACATCACTTACATTTATATCATCATATGTCATCAAATAATCCTTAGCAGATCATGTACCAAGTCATCAGCTGAACCAATCAGTAAATCATCAATCACCAGTAAATCACTAATCGTAAGGCTTTTGTTTTATACTAAATTTAACTATGGTATATTCCATTTACCCGATCAATACTTAAGGCTCACTGTGGGTGTATCCTGTCAACAGGGGATGCTTACTCCTCTTAGGCATCTGATCCCATCTTTGGTGTTTCCAGGGGTCTATGATTTATGCCCTGTTCACAGATAGTGTGTGGATTTTTTTTAGATCAATTAGTGTTTGTTATCTTCACTTTTTTCATCAAATCAGTAAATCATCAACCAGTCATTAGGAAGTCATTAACCAAATCATCAGTAGTTCATTTAATAATCATTTATATATATCATATAGTTATACATCATAAGTTATATATCATCAGTTATGTATCATCAGTTATGTATCATCAGTTATATATCATCAGTTATATATCATCAGTTATATATCATCAGTTATGTATCATCAGTTATGTATCATCAGTTATATATCATCAGTTACTCATAAGTTATATATCATCAGTTAAATATCATCAGTTATATATCATCAGTTATGTATCATCAGTTATATATCACTTATATCACCAATAAGTCAGTCAAATTATTAGTAAATCAAAAAAACATCAACAAGAATTAATTAATGTAAATTTGTTTATACGAATTAGCATTTTTTCAATCAACAACTAAAAAAACACTTATCCACATGTAAAATGAATGTTTATCTTTCATCTAACCTTTAATCTGGTGATTTTTATAGCCATCTTAAAGAATGCCATTCGGAGTGAAACAGAGGACGATGCTGTGGACATTGAGATGCAGTCAGACATGTTGCTGATTCTCTCCTGCTTGTGTGAGGGAGACATGCACAGAAAAGTTAGTAGAAAAAGAGATTAAATATCAGAATTTTATATTGTCTGCTTTATCACTCATGTAACTGTCTATAAAAGAAGGAGAGAGATGGTCTAATACAAGTGTAAAGCAATTAATTTCTTTTACCCTTGTACATTATTTTGAACCCTTTCAAAGGAGAGTGTTCTAAATTTTGATTGCACTTATAAAATTACAGAATATATTCAACTAACTTTGCTCTTAAATTGAGAATAAACTTTTCTTTGTTTTCCATTGTTAGGAGTTGTTTGTTGTTTCTTAACTCATTTGTCTTATTTATATTTAGGAGCTATTTGGGGTGGATGGAGTGGAGGTGATCATTCATTACTTGAGGACCAACTCTAAATTCCTGAACAGCGGCCTGGGTCATCACCGTCTTCTGTTGTCAGCTGTAGATTGTGTCTGGTCAGTAATTATTTCCCTTGTCAGTTGTGTCTTGCCAGGGGTTATCTCCCTTGTCTCACTGTAGATTGTGTCTGGTCAGTAATTCTTTCCTTTCTAAGCTTTGTTTTTATCAATAATAGCCCAGATTCAAAAAACTAAGACATGACAGCACCCATTTTCAATTGGTAAACAAACTTCTGATTCAGAAAGATTGAAAAAATTTCCAGATTACAAGATATATCTTCTGTTTTCCTTCCATAGTGAGTAAGAAATCATTTCCCTTTCAAATGTTTGGATAATAATCAGGCTAAAAGTTTTTCTGCTCAGATACATAGCTGACTCTGGCCATCACAAAAACTGTTTACAACATTGTTTGAGGTGTCATTTGAGATGTCACAATCGCAATGACCCTCCAATCAAACTATAGAATTTCATTTATATGCATAAAAATCATAAATAAACCAATGAAATAATGGCAGAAATTAATTTTGGTCTAAGTTTTTAATTCTGTGAAATTAGGGATGTACAGTAGTTAACTCCCTTGAGAACTTTGAGTAATCTTATCGGTAGTTATCACCCTTTGTTACTTGTTGGCAATGTTACTTTAGTTATTTGAGATACAGGTGTGCAGTATCACCTTTCTATATTCATCTCCCCTGTCAGATGCTGAATGAGTCTATTCAGTAATTAACTCCCTCGTCAGTGTTAACTATGTCTGGTCACTAGTAGTTATCTCCCTTGTCAACTTTATGGGGTATAAATTGTGAAAGAAAACATTGACAATTCTTCAACAGTTTTAGGGGGTGGGGGATGAGAAGGATTCTTTAATTTGATGAAAGTAGTTGCTAATAATATGGTTGCTTTCGGAAGAGGTTAGGAAGGAAAGAAAGAAAATAAAAGGGAATTGTTTATGTTACACAGGATTAAAGATTTGTGTTCAGAAAGCAAGCTTTGTGTGGGATGTGTCAGTCACGATAATCAGATTTGTTGGTTTGTTGAGGTGATGTCAAAAGTAGGAAGAATGTATGAAAAAAAAGTTGATTGATTGATGGAAATGTTTTCACAGATTTCACATAATAAAAAAATCCTTTAATCAGGTTGTTTGATTTTATACAGGTGTGCTGTGGTTGGATGTTACATCACAGAAGATTTCTTTTTGGAGAAAGAAGGTGTATTCTTACTCATTGATCTCCTGGAGGTAAGTTATCAAGTTCCTAATGAGTGCTTCTCACTAATTACCACCCACACATTATATGTTCTTAACTGTGCATGTCAAAAAGTAGATATGCAACATGAGTCAGTCTGTGAACTTGCATTAGTTTAGTGTATAAAGTTTAGAAAAGAGGGCTAATGATGCCATGTAATGATTTGTGTATTCTAAGATTCAACATTTTATTGCTTAAAAAGGGATTAACAATAGCAAAATGGTTTTCCATTTCAGGTCTGTCCAAAAAATACACACAACCTGATTCTGGGATGTCTGTTAGATCTGTGTGAGAATCCAAAGACAATTCACCACATTCACACATGGAGGGGCAAGGACAACTGCTCAGCGGCCCACCTGTTCTGTGAAATTTACAGGAATGAGGAGAAAGACATGGGTGTAAAGAGAGATAAGGACGGGGCTATTGCTGACATCACAAAGCCACTAATGGGGGCCCTGCAGGAGTATCAGGGTGTAGTACCCCTTCCCGCCAGTAATCCCAGTCAGTCTATCGTAGATGTGTCAGAAAATATGAGGGCTAAACTGTACTCACTGTTCTGTAAGATCGGTAAGTAACTCTAATCAGTCTGTTGAAGAATAACAATAGAAATTGTTAATTGGTCAAAAAAAAAAAATGCCAGGTCTTGAACTAGCATTGTTTGCTACCCTAATTATTTGAAATATGAAAAATTACAGTTAATAAAATATATATTTTACGTAAGGAGATTAATTACTTTGTGGGGATATGAAGTGATTATGAAGTTATTTTTCAGGATGGTCTGATTTGTCTGGTCTTACAGTAGATGATCATGTTACACTGGTTGTTTTAGAAAAATACTTGGATTTCAAGGTAGGTTTTTATGGTGGACATTATGGTGCATTCTTGTACATTTGTTAGGACATGTACATAAACTGAAAACACTTATAAATAGCGACTGCCAGGAGACATTCCAGCTAAATATTCAGCAAAAAGTTTCATATTATCTCAAGTTTTTGTCTCAGAAAAGAGAAAACTAAGTTTTATAACCCTGGAGTCAGTTCTAGTATACTGACATACAACAAACAAATCAAGCAAAAGGCATTTCACAAGCAGTAGGACAAGTTATACAAATTATCATTTTAGATTTATGTGTTTGATTTTCTTTCAGGGAATAAGAACCCCTGTTGTAACTGAATTACAATTACATTTTTTTTTACAGAAATTTAGAGCAATTATTTATACCATACAAGGCAAACTATGAAACAACCCATTATTGAAGACGATCAATTTATGAAGGAAAGAACTGATTTGTAAATTGTAAGAGTTATCTCTCTTAGTTGAGCCATGCCACCTTAACGTATTTCATAATTCTTGTTCCTTTAGATGGGTGAGGTATGGACCGAGATCATTCAGGAACTGCATGCTGAGAACGTGAGGCCTGTGACTCCAGACATGGAAGCCATTGAAGCTATTTCCCGAGGAATTGAAGAGCGGGCTAAAATCGTGGCAGGAACTCAGTACGAACTCCTAGAGGCCCAACAAAATCAAGACGCTCTAGATGAGCAAGAATTCTATGCCGAGGTTAGGAATTTTTCTCAACTTTTGTTTTGTTTGGCCATAATTTTGTTAAAATTGGCAAAGTGAATTAATGAAACATTCTGTGATAGATGTACTGTAAACAGGAAGTACATGAAAAGAAATCTATTGCTTGAACATTCTGTAGCAGACTCATGCCCTTATATACTAGTGAACTAGCGCTTCACTATCTTGAACATCTATATCTCATATACCATGGTTAAACTTATGTCAAAATTAATTAAGTTGGAAGCCCTGGCCACTTTTTCTCTCAATATTTTAACCTCTATATCTTGAATCATTGGTTATATCGATCCAAAAAATGTTTTAGTCCCATCAACTTTGAGATACATGTCCTGAAATTTGACTGAATATCATATGTTATGGTTGTGTCATGGAAATAACCCATATGTATCAGTTTTACCTAGAACATCCATAAATATCACCCTTCATTTCACTGAAAATAAAAACTGCTAAGATTAACCAAGTTACAGGGAACAAAAGATAATCTGCATATTCTCTGCTAATGGGGATTCCTGAATCATTTACTTTCCATCATAAAGAAACTTTTATAAGAGATTTTTAATAACTAATGTCTCTAGTGTTATGTATATTATGTGGTAGCATTCATTTATTCTGTGACTTCTATATAGGGTAGAAGAGGTAAAGTTTTACAATGTTTTTCTTCCAGATTCGTGAAAATCACAGGCAGAAGGAAAAAGCTCTGAACGATTTCACTGATTTTGTTGCTAGAACTTCAAATTACCAACTACTTAAGGTAAGAACATGCAATCCATGCTAACTTAGTAAAAAATGTATACTAAAATAAGTACACTCTAATTAAAATTAGATCCTTTACACACCTGTATACTGTTATGTTGCTGTAAGTGACATACATGCAACAGAATACAGGAGCGTAAAGGATCTAATTTTAATTAGATTGAAATAAATAAGTCTTGCTAAAATATAGAATTTTTTTTTTTTAGTCTTTATTTGATAATATCAGAAAATTGCTTCTATAGAAGTTGTAACCTATCTTTGTGAACATATTATTTGATCTTGACCTTGATTATGACCTTGACCTATAACTTTATTTTGTGATATATTAACCTTGATCATGACCTTGACCTTTTGTAGGCTGCTAAAAAGAGACAGAACCTGTCCATTGAGGCTTCACTTATGGGCAACAGATACAGGGAAAAGTAAGATAGTTTATATTCACTGCACAAGATTTAATGATATGTGTTATACTGATACATAAACTGTGGTTAGTTAGGACATTATTGTCTATCCTTAGAGTTGTATTTATTAGCAATACTTTTAATATCAAGTACACTTCTCACAATGATCAGATCATTTCCAAAGAAAAATTTTTTTACATTAATCATCAACACAAATTAAGTGGTATTGTACAATTTTTTTTATTGGATATCATGTCTCTGGAGATGTTAGAATTTCTGCAACTGTTCCAGATTTTAGGAAGAGCTATTGAGTGTATATAGCCCAGATATTATCACCTTTCAATACTGCTAGATAATATTTAAACCTTAATACCAGAATGTGTAATAAAGTATTAGAACCTTATACTGTTATTATACTCTAATCTTACCAAAGCCCATTAATGATCAAATAATAGGGCTTTTAATTACTGGTTTTCAGTTTATTTTCTTGAATGCTTTTTTCGTCTTGGATATTATATAACAACAGACTATTACACTAATATTCCTAATTTTGTTTAGGAAAACTTCTTTTGCTGCATATGAACAATTACAATGTACAATCTACAATGTACAACCTCAATTAAATGTATTTTTTATTGGGATCAGTGAAAAGAGGATGACTATGATTTGTTAAGGTCAGACGACACGTTCCTCAGATACCTGCTTTGTATCTTTTGGTATTATATCAAAAAATTATTCAGAATTGTCATTCTCTTGTAAATTCTAAATTGTTTTCAGTATGTTTTAAAAAATAAATACATCAAAAAAATGTGACAATTGCAATTCAGAAGATAACCCATAAGAATTATGTAAGAAATATCACCCTCTAGTATCTTGCCCAAATGCTTGGTAAGGTACCTCAATTTTTTGTGAGGAAACTTGTTTAGGTAACAATACTTCAAAGGCAAATTCTTGGGAAAATTTATATGTTTTCGAGGAATGTGTCGTATGACCTTAAAATAAAGAGGGCATAATGTAAAGGTTACTTAGACATCTCAGGTGATTGACACAATTTGTTCGTTTCTTTTTCAGGGACAACTTCCATGATTCAGAGTTAAAGAACACCAACACTACAGTAAGTTAAAAATTACAGTGACCTCTGACCTGTACAAACATTTGTTTTTATTTATGGAGGACTATTTTGCAGTTTTTAGGAACACTGACCTCTTATTGACAATTGTTTTTATGAACAGGACCATGCAATGTCCATCGTCTCAAGCCACGGCTGGAGTCCGCATATAGCTCTCTCCTACCCGTGGCTGCTTGATCATTAAAAGTGTCGTAATCTTACACCTTTACACCTTAATGTTGTGACGTCATGTTCAGCCAATGACAATATTGTTTCCATCGCAATTGAAGTCAACAATTGACATCAACAGTATACACGAAATGTTTCATATACTGCATTTGGATATTCAAAGTTCATTATCCTTCTATGCTTTACGCGCATTGGTCAATGTTTTTAATGAGCTACGAAATATTCTCATCTCATTCAACCACGGCCAGAATGGGAATGGATCGTACATTTTGGCCGTGGTTTGCCATGATGGACCAATGTCTAACTATTCATCTTGTGCTCAGGCCCTGTTTTAAAAATTAAAAAAATTTCAGCGGCCACAAATTTATGTAAAGACTAGAGGATGTTCATGACCCAATACCAAAGTTATTTGGACAAAATAAGGTGGACGATGGGGATAAGATTTTAAAAAAAAAAAAAAAAAAAAAAAATGATGGCAAAATTGTAAAAAATAAGTCCGAAATTTTCCAGACCCAAAATCAATTTATTTGATGAAGATTGATTGCATTGTAAAACTTGTGTAAGAAATTACTTGGTTGATTTTCTCAGTGACTTGCTGCAGGCAGAGGTTTATTAAACAACTTTTTTCTGTTCACCTCATATCTTCTTCATACCTTTAATCAATCTTTTTAGTGTGCCATTTGTCATGTCAGGTAATTAAATGAGAATCTCTTCATAATTCCATATCCTGTTTTATTGCCTAATATGTCATTTTTAAGCTAGCTAAGGCTTAAAGTTAGGCTTAGTAACCAAGAAGTACATTAATTATACATACTTAATGCTCTCTGAAGGCTGTGGTCCAGGAAGACATTTTGTTATAAATGACTGTGTATCAAGCACATGAGCAGGGATGGGGTAATCGTAATCGAGTAATCGTAATCGATTGTAATGATTACTTTTTTTCAAGTAATCGACAATAATCTGTAATTGAAGAGATTTTCGATTACTTGTAATCGTAATTTAATCGATTACAGCTAAAATTTTCAATGTAATTATAATTACTTTTTCGATTACTTTCGATTATTTTATACACAAATGGATGTTATTTTGGAGAATTATTTCCAGTCAGTCACATATCAATATCAAATATAAACCACCTAGTGTAATGTTTGGATTTACTAACTTTTATTATCATAAGTTAAATAATTTTCTCAATAAAATTTGCATTATGGACCTACTGGTCTAGTATTAAATAATTCAGAAGTGTATTTCAACAATTTATTAATAAAATATACAGATTTTTGTGTGCATTTTACATTTGACCCACTGTCCTCTTGCTGCATGTCCTTTTTCATATTTCAGATGTTGAAAAACTTTGTCTTGTAATAGAAAATTATAAATAGCAAAAACAGATTTAAGTGCTGTACTTTAGTCTGTTTTTGCTAATGTAGTTTTTTGTAGTTTTTTGACCAAATTATATATATTGTAATATAAATAATTTGGTCAAAAAACTACATTGTACTCGAAAAAAAGAAGAAGATGGAAATACTTATTCATATCTGAAAATGTTTAAACAACTTCAAACTTGTGTTTCAGTAACTTTAAAATTTGCAAAATCAATCTCATGTTTTCATTCAAAATTGTAAGGTTGCTTTTATATCAGTGAGAGGTTATATAAGTGTCTGTAAGAGAGGGAGTAAGTGTCACTGTGTTTGCTTATCTTGGCTAATTAATTGACTGAGACATCCCTGATTTGCAGATAATGAGGTGTAAACTGTGAACTACCTAGTGTTTAACTTTCATTCCATTGAAGACAAACAATATTATTAAAACAATTAATAGCTCTCAAAACACTTATTTCAATACAGAATGAAATTGTGCTATTTGTTAAAATACTTAAAGACACATTTAATTTACATGTTTATTACTAAGAGTTCGTTCTAATTTGCTTAAAAAAAAAAAAAAGACATGTACAGAAATGTTTTATGTGCACTGCCCAAATAACACTAATGAAGTAATTCACAATAAAATATTATTATAAATAATTTTTGCACCAAGTCAATAAAGATGGAGGTTCAGATCCAAGGTTGAAAGGAATAATCAATTCCTTGGCATATATTGTTGCAAGAATAATATCTCCACCTTCCATGGTAGAGAATCCCTCATTTGGGCATTTAGTAAGAATGTTAGCCACTGAAACTGCATCTGCACTGAAACTGCAGGAACATATTCAAACTTCAGTGGATAACATCAACATTTACCATTTAAATATTGCTTTGAAATTTGAAGGGAAAACAGATTTAAGCGCTGTATTAAAAACTTGGAAGTAATCGATTATTAATCGATTACATCTTCCAAAGTAATCGATTACAATCGATTACAGGACAAAAATGAGTGTAATTGATTAATAATCGATTACACAAAATTACTCTAAGTAATCGATTATTAATCGATTACATTTTTCAGCCTTTGAGTAAAGGCTGAGAATATGCTTTTGAAATTAAAAAATGCAGATAGAAAATAAAATAATGTATTGAAATCTAGAGGTATTGGGTCATGTATTTCTTTTTGGTAAACTAGCTACATGTATACAATATTCTAACTTTTTTATCTTATTTTTATGCCCCCCTCCCCCCCGCCTTGTAGTTGAAGATTTTGGGATAATTTTTGGTCTGTCTGTCCGTCTGTCTGTCTAGCTGTCTGTCTGTCTGCAAAAAACTTTAACCTTTTCATAACTTCTGAATGGTTGGTGCTACATTTTTTCTATTTCACATGTGTATTTCTTGTGACAAAACTTTTTTTTTTACCTCAGACCCTTGGAGTTTGACCTAGTGTTGTAAAAATTTAACCTTGGTCATAAATTTTAAACGGTTGGTTTCATGTGACAATTAAGACCCTTTTTTGAATTAAAAAAAAAACCAGAATGGCAAAGAGAGATATATTTATATATATAATTAACACTGGAACCATAAGGAAATAATTGTTGTGTGAACCTTTTGATCAATAATTTCTGCTATACAAGATGACTTCCTTGTATAAATGTTAAAAAATCTAACTTCAAAATCATTTCATAGACAAAACCAATAACACTCAAAGCTTGAATGCAACAAATTACAGGCAAATCAGAAGCACCAAAGGCAATACACCGTGTAAGGCATATAAACCATTGATAGATATAAATAAAAACCTCAGAACCATAGCTTTGATAGATGGAAAGATTTGACACAATTTTAGTGGTTGGACCTAATCCAACTAACACAGCTAGAATGGTACGGGCCAATTATCTGAAAGAAATGCCTTAAAAAGTACAGAAAAACAAAATTAAATGAATGACTCACCAAATCAATATCTGACGTGAAAAAAAAACTAGATGTATAAAGCTTTTTAACATTTATATTGGAAATGTGGATATCGGCTCTCTGCAATACAATGAGTCATTTGTTACGCGAGTTCTCCTCAGGTTTTAATTGGGTTGCGCAGCATTGTAGATTTATCTCCATGTCTTTACAAGGTCAATATTGCCGGGGGGAAAATTGGTCAGGGAAATTTTACACAATTACTTCAGGAGCTAGAATGATCCGGGGGCCATGTTAAAGTTACATAATGTTATCTACTCCTTTTGGGATGCACTTGAGATTTTTCCAAGGAAAATAATTCAATCTCATTCTGATTTATAATCTTTAAACCCCATCATCTACAACTTGCTTTGGTTTGCAGCTTTCTTGTTACAAGTATGCATATAAGTATACAAATGTTTAGTTTCCGATGTTTGAAAACAACTTTTAGTTAATGTAAAAATAAAATATGGTGATTTAATCAGCAGTTTATCAGATATTTGTCTTAGTCCTTAATGTTCATTGTTCCCTCTGATAAGAAAGACAACTCTTACTTGGTTGATTGAGTATTGTTCTTTAATAAAATTATCAAATTAAATAGCCATTTCTGTTAATTTTTGTTCCATAAGGTATGCTGAAATTATGTACATGTCAATTATAAATTAGATTTCCTCTGGAATATTGATAGCGTGAAAGCAAAATTGATATGAATGAACAGAGTACCATTGCACCTTAAGGACATACGCAACGTAGTTTGAACTTTACTGTCTTTTTCCCTGGAGTTGAAGAGTTCCAATTCTTAAAGGAACTGTGTGCTACATTTTAATGTCTATATATGCTGCTGTACACTTCTTCTAAAACAAGTTTGGATAAATAAAACATCTAGAATATATGTTTAGTATTTTTTGTATATTTTTCTTTTAATTATACAAGAATTTTCATCAACTGATATCTTTTCAAAACCCCTGGTGATACATGCTGACTTTTTGTCTACGAACATCTGATGGCACTTTAATCTTAAATTGAGAATATCTTGAAAAATTATCAGTAGGTAAGGTACGTTGCGTATGTCCTTAAGTTAACAAAGGGTAGCTTACTCCATTTATAGAATTCATGTATGTCTCAGAATTTATGAACTATGAGTTGCAATCTTGCATAATAAATTGATTTTTTTTTCTTTCAGACATTCTGTTTTAACCTTGTGTCAGTAGAGAGCACACCACTGTCTTTAACTGGTGGACCACTGTCAAAGTATGACACAAAGTTAGGAACCACCCAACCAAGGAAAATCCTGAAGCAAAAATTGACCACCATGAGCTCAAAATAGGTGCTGGTCAGTAATGTTGTTTATGTAGATGATGCATATAAAATTCAATTTTGTGAAAATTTGTATGTTTCTAAAAGGGAGGCTGAAGACTAAGGCAATGGAAGAAGAAAAAGAAATTTATTTTTTTTATCCTTAGATTGATACAGAAAACTTGTAGAATTTAATCCATAGAATGAAAAAAATTACCCCCCCCCCCTTCAACTTCCTCCATTCAAAAAAAGAAAGCCAAATGATTATAGATGAAATTGTAGGAGAAGAGGGGAAAAACAGATTACAAGTAACATTTTGTTGAAGAGAGTTAACAAGATCCATCCATCATTTTCTTATTTCTATAGAAGATTAACAGCTTAAATGTTTGTTGCAGGTTTGTAAAAAGGAAGAGACATTTAGTGACAGGCAGAAAACTATGGACATTAGTAAAGAATTCTGCTGTGATATTTTTTGGAAAAATTGTAATATATATGTTTTTTTCTTCTTGTACTGAATAAATGTATTTTGACCAAAATGACTAAAAGGGTATTTTGTAAGCTTTAAACATATAAAACAATAACTCAATGTGTTCGCTCATTGTGTTACAATCAGATAGTTCTACACCTGTGAAGGTGTCTTTAAAAGATGCAGCTTCAAGGTGTAGAAACTCAGTCCATCTTAAGACATTTCAGCACGGACAATATTTATTCTGCAGTCTACTTAATTTTTAGGTCACCTGAGTCACTCAGGTGACCTATTGTTATCTGTTTTTGTCTGTCGGCGTTCGTCGTGCGTCGTGCGTCAGTGCGTTAACATTTGAACATTTTTAGCTTCTTCTCTGAAGAACCGCTCAACCAATTTCAACCAATTTTAGCATATAGCATCTATGGGTGAAGGGGAACAAAAATTGTGAATTTCATGGTCCCTGCCCCCCTGGGGCCTGAGGGGTGGGGCTAAAACCACCAAAAATAATGCAATCTTTAAAAATCTTCTTCTTTACTCCTGGACATCAAGCAGTCAAACTGTTGGCATCATTGTAATAAGCATTGAGCCCTCTACCAAAATTGTGAAATTCATGGCCCCAGGGTCAGGGGTTCTGGCCCAAGGGTGGGGCTATATAGATCATATAGTGAAAGTGCATTACTTCTTTGAAAATCTTCTTCTCTGCTCCTGGGTATTAAATAAAGTAACTAAGTACATAGTTATGAAGAGCAAGACTGCCTCTTTGAAAATTGTGAAATTCATGGCCCCAGGGTCAGGGGTTCTGGTGTTAGGGCGGGGCTCTATTGATTATATAGTGAAAATGCATTAATTGTTTGAAAATCTTCTTCTCTGCTCCTGGGTATTAAATAAAGTAACTAAGTACATAGTTATGATGAGCAAGAGTGCCTCTTCCAAAATTGTGAAATTCATGGCCCCAGGGTCAGGGGTTCTGGTGTTAGGGCGGGGCTGTATTGATTATATAGTGAAAATGCATTAATTCTTTGAAAATCTTCTTCTCTACTCCTGGGCATTAAGGTGATAAACTAAGTACATAGTTATGATGAGGAGGTGGGCCTCTTCCAGAATTGTGAAAGCCATGGCCCCTGGGTCAGGGGTTCTGGTGTTAGGGCGGGGCTCTAATGACTATAAAATGCATTAATTCTTTGAAAATCTTCTTCTCTACTCCTGGATATTTAATAAAGTAACTAAGTACATAGTTATGATGAGCAAGAGTACCTCTTCCAAAATTGTGAATTTCATGGCCCCAGGGTCAGGGGTTCTGGTGTTAGGGCGGGGCTCTATTGATTAGATAGTGAAAATGAGTTGATTCTTTGAAAATCTTCTTCTCTGCTACTGGAGATTATTTAAACTAGAACTGTCCAAAAGGGACAAATACCCCCCGCTGGGTTTTTCAGAGAAAGTACCAAATCACTAATGTTTTCTAGATGTGAGAGGTGTTCACAATTTCCTTAAACATTTACAGTGAAAATTTAATTACTCATTATATATTTTTATACGTCCGTCTTATGACGGGACGTATTATGTTATAGCGTTCATGTTTGTCCATCCGTTAGCTTTTTCATGTCCGGCTCATAACTTTAATACTATTAGGCATAGAATTATCAAACTTTGTCAGCTGATACATCTAGGGTAGAAGGTGTGTCGCACATTAAAACCAGGTTGCTCTGACCTTTAATAAAGACGCTATGACCAGATATGGAAAAATCATAACTAGAAAACCATTAGACTTAGAATCAAAAAACTATGTCTTTTAACTTTTAAATTACACAGTCCCAAAAGATGTCAGAGTATTGCAGTATCTTTATTAAAAAAGTGTTAAATCAAGAAAATACTAGTCTTATTTTTTTTCACTATGTTCTTTACAGCAATCTGTAACAACAAAAATTCCACCTCTCCCATGAGTGTAATGATCAGGCACTGGTCAAGGAAAATTTTGATAGCAGAAAATTGCATGTCAAATTAGAGAGAAATTAATGAGTTTAGTGTGAGGAGATAACTGGTAGAGCATCTCTGATCAAGCAGGTGTTATCTACATCTCTTGGGAATTGGGCAAAAGGAATCAGTCTCTTAATTAATTGCTTGTGTTGTATTGAATTGTTCTTGTTGGCTAGTCTTACTTTCAAGATAAATTTGATGTAATTAAAACTAATTTGATATTGTATATAATAATTAAAAGTTATATGATATTGTATAATATAATTTAAACTAATTATTTATTGTACATTTTTTATTTGAATTTTTATATCTTTACAACAAATTGCAGACTCCCTTGTCTTGCTAAGATGTCATTCAAACAATTGAATCTAAACTGTTTATGATAATTTAACAATATTTGATGGGTGTATCATGCTGTGGTGGGGCACTTTATTTAATGAATGAAACTAAGGTGCAGCCTAATAAAACATCAACACTAATAATTACAGTGTTTTTTATTACATTGAAAAAATAGTTTGCAACTATCTGCCATCTTTGTGAGACATGACACTCTGCAAATTGATTGTTGAAAAAAAGAATATCATAATTAATTATAGAAAATCAAATTGATTTTAATACCTTTATATCAAACTCATTTTAAAAATAAAAGGCTGGTTTTAGTAACTATGTATTTTGACAGGCATAAATTACAATTAAGAGACTTAGACAACAGAGATCTTTATTTCTTTCTGCCCAATTCCCCTGAGATATAGATAAGACCTGCTTGATCAGAGATGCCCTAACAGCTTCCCACACTGAACTCATTAATTAATCTTTAACTGGATGCATGTCCACTCATTACTCCCAAGGGACAAATGGATTTACACTATCTGCTGTGTAATGTAAAAACTGTTTTTAATACTTTGTGGGTTTTTTTTAGTTCTAATGAGTAGTTTTAAGCTGTAGTTCACATTTTTGTACAGATGTTCTAGATTCTATGTCTCAAACCTTAGACATGAACCCGAAATGACTAAGTCAATAAATTAAATTAAAAAAAAAACACCTGTAAAATGCAGAAATATTATCAAATAATGTTGAAAATACCAGGTGCACATCTTCATATGGTAAATAATAAGTGTACAAATTTTCATACAAATCTATGCAATGGTCTCTGGGAACAGATCCAGACAAAACCACATAATAAAAATGAAAAAAAACACCTGTAAAATGCAAAATAATTATCCAATCATAATGAAAATACCAGGTGCACACCTTCATATGGTGAATAGTAAGTGTACAAATTTTCAGACAAATCCTTCCAACAGTTTCCAAGAAATGGTCCGGACAAAATCTCGTCTACAGACAGACGGACAGACAGACGGACATGCTGATTCCAATATACCCCCCCCCCCTAAACTTCGTTTGCGGGGGGTATAACAAACTAAGTGCATGATTATGATAGGCAAGGATGCCTCTTCCAAAATATTTAAATATATGGCCTCAGTTTTTGGGGTTCTTGAGGAGGGGGGGGGGGGGCTCTATTGATTATATAGTGAAAAAGCATTAATTCTATTAATTAATCATTAATTAATCCTGTCTGCTCCTTGGTGATGAGCTGATAAATAAATTGCTTAGCTATGATGAAAATGGGAGCTTCAAACAGATATATTTTTAAATCTTGTGGTCCTAGGGTCAGGGGTTCTGGCATAACGAGGGGGGGGGGGGGGCTTTTGATAATATAGTGGAAAAGTGTTAATTCTTTAAAGTCCATAGTTATGATGATGAGGGTAACTCTTCCAAATTTGTAAATTTCTTGACCCTTGGTCTTGGGTTCTGGTGTTAGGGTAAGGCTTTGTTGAATCTTTAGTGAAAATTCATTGTACCTGTGAAATTCTTCTCTGCTTCTGGGCATATCGGAAGCAAACTGAGTAAAAGTTTAAATGATATAAGTAAGCATATTTCTACCAGATTTTTGAACATCTGGACCATTGGTCTAAGCATTCTGGTCCTGGGCAGGGCTCTATTAATTTGTATTCTACTGAGAGAAGTTTTTCCCCTTTTCCATTCACCTTTGATAATTAATCACTGTAAATAATGTATTTGAAAGGTTAATAGAATAAGACAATTATGCAAGAATGTTTATTGTATAATTCAAAAAGTACTTTCTTAGTTTTAATAATCAGGTAGACCTGTAAGTAATAGATAAATAGAAATGAGACAAAAATAACTTATGTTATTAAAAGTTCTTCAAAGACCATAAGAGAGGTCAATGCTAGAGGTCTTAATATGGGTTTTAAAAATAGTACAGAAGCACTAATAATTTGTTAATAGTCTGCATGGTGATAGTGTTAAGTGGGGGACAGATTAGAACTTAGTTTATGAGTTGATACTGAATACTAGACTAATTATTTTGTTGATCCTGATCTTCCTACTTCTCTTGCTTTAGGGCAACAAAGCTTCATCTATCAGTGTATTTAACTTCTAAATTGTTGTATTATACTCAGGTGACCGTAAGGCCCTTGGGCCTCTTGTTATAAGATGAAATCAGAAGAAGCATTGACTTACATTTTTTCATACATGCTGATTTAGTGCTTTGAGGTGTGCATGTAAATGGAGCAATATTAAATTTGTTTGTACCTCTAGACTGTTACAGCATCACAAGTTGCAAACCAGGTCTCTGATGAGATTGAAGCTCAGCTCTACTGGTGTGTACTTGGTGTATCTTTTTTTTTTTTTTTGATTTACATTGCCCAATATCATTACAAGTATACAAATGAGACAATTTATGAGGTCTTTTTTACATTAATATAATTTATAATATACTTGGTGTATCTTAGTGTAGTGTACTTGTGTACCAAGTTTTATATAAATTGTGGAAGGAGAGCGCTTTGAAAGAATTTCAAAGAAATTTTTATTTTAAATAGCCATGGCAACATCATTTTTCGAAATAAAAAAATTGATACACAAAATTATGTATCTTAATAAAGTGTACTTGTGTATCAAGTCATGGAAATTGGACCAAAACTGTAGGAAGAGTAGCATTTTGAAGCTAATTTCACAGAAATTTCTATTTTTAGTAACCATCGCAACACTGTTCATCATCGAAATCAAAAACTG